TGCAATGGTCAGGCCTGGCATAGATGAAAAGCTACAGAAACGGCAGGAGTGTACTCTCTCTGGCACGGGATGCAGCCAGAGCCCCTCTGTAGGGTATTGGCCTGAAGCCTGGCAACCTGTAGGCTTGGCTCAAGGAGTACTGGGAAGGTTTTGTGGTGGAGGCTGCTGTTCCACAGTGACAAAAGAGGGCTCTGGCATCATGGCTTGGCTGGTCTAGTGTTCACAACAGAGACCAGAAAAGCAGCTGCAGTATGGGTGGGCCACCCTCTCGCACTGCTTCTCCTTTGGGGAGAAGAGATATCCATGTTCTGGGGCCTGGGATGCCAGGGCCACCAGAGCTGTCAGGGCCCCACAACCCCTGGCAGGCAGCGCCACAGTCTGCATTTAAACCTCAAACCAGAGCTCGGATGTTGCCATTGGAGGCATACCTCTTGGGAATGTATCTGCCTATTCCAAACATGCTCTGATATTTCCAGAGCTCCTCTTCCGGAACCACCTTTTGGCCCTCGTGAGTTAACGTGAGCTGTTCTCCTAACCTGTCACCCTGTTTTTCACCAGAAGTGACAGTGTCCGATGTGGTCGCCCACTTGACCCTCCAGACCTGGCTTTGAATGAGTTTGGGCTGTTTCCACACATTGAGTCCCTTTCAAGGACAGGACACTTAGCCCACTGAAGGGATTCACAAAAATGTGCTACAGGCTCGGTAGGTGGCTTTCAGAAAGTGAATGTGAAGGGGTTTGCAGCCACTCTGAGGGGGCAGGATTTGGTTGGTTGTGGAAGTTCTGGGATGTTGGTAAACCACTGGGAATAAGGCTGGTGGGTTTCCTGTCCCCTTTGGGTGGCTGAGAAGAGAGGGGGTAACTGTATGCGGGGTGGGCTCCTGGTTCGCTCTCTCAGGGTGCGGGAGAGCCAGAGCAGTGCCTCCAGGCTTCCTGAAAGGGACCCTCAGGCCTACTTATCAGAACTTACATCCAGGGCCACAGGGCTGTGCGCCGGCTCAGCGTGGCCTTGGGGCTTGCTGTTCCCAAGTCCTGGCTTGTGACCTTGGCCTACTCTCCTTCTCTAGGCCTCAGCATTTCCATTGGTGACAGGGAATGGACTCATTCACCTCTGCCAGCTTCTCCAGGCACAGTGAGGGGGAGGAATAGCAACTGGTTTTGCTTAGGGAGGAGTTTGGGGTATTTGAATAATCACTCAGGGAGAGCCTAGTGTAAGTACGGGGCCCTGGGCTAAGCGCTTCACATGTGATCTCACCATGTGAGAGAGGAACCGATATTCAGAGAGACAAAGTGATTTGCCCAAGCAGCAAAGAAGGGGCAAACCCGAGTCTGACCCAGACCCTGATGTGAACTTGGCTGTAGTTGCCATCCGCCACCCTGTGTCATTCTCAGGCCCACTCAAGACACTTTGGAGAAGGGCTTATCCTTAAATCACAGCCCCAAGAAAGGGGTAAGCCCCCTGAGTCCTACAGAACTCAGAAAAGTACCCCTGGTACCCCACCACCCAGTCTGAGAGGGGCCTACAGAGGACCCTGACACCCTCAGATCTGCAGAGTTGCTTGAGCTCTTTGTCCCCTTTGGGAACTGCCACCCCACACACATTCTACACAGAGTGATGGGCCTCTCCTGGCTCCCTGGTTGAGAGTTACTGTGAGCAGATGACCTTCCATTGGAATATTCTCATTGGCCAGGAAGATTTTTCTCAAACTTTACTTTCTGGCGTTTGTTTAAATATAAAATTGTATCATTCATTCCATTATTCAAAAAGTATCTATCATGCACCTACTCTAATCCAGGCTCTGAGGACCAGGGTAAACCAGACAAAATCCCGGCTCTTGTGCAGTTTAGTTTGCTTCTTCCAAAGTTCTGGGATGTGGGAAAATCCTCTGTTAGGAAAGAGGCTGGTGGGATTCCCTGCCATTTCTGGTTCACTAGGGAGAGAGGAGGTAGCTGCATATGAGGTGGGCTCAGTACAGAGCTGCGTGTATAGATGCTCCTGTAGCCAACCTCCTGCCCCCCAAGAAGAGATGGTGATGCACGCTCTGTGGCACCCCTGATGGCGTCTGACCTTGCCTCTGCCCCTGCCCTAATTTCAGTCCCTTTGTGGCATTCCCAGCAGGAGGCTACCTGCACTCTGCTCTCATGTATCAGCCATGGGGGATCCTCCCTCTCCCAAGGCCCCTGCCTTCTTTCTTTCTTGCTCTGTTGCCCAGACTGGAGTGCAGGGTGTGATCATAGCTTGCTGTAACCTCGAACTCCTGGGCTCAAGTGATCCTCCTGCATCAGCCTCCCAAAGCGCTGGGATTACAGGCGTGAGCCACTGTGCCTGGCCTCAAGGTGCCTGCCTTCTGCCCCTTTGCCCCTCCCTGCTCATCCTTTGTGTGGAGCTGAACTCTGTCTTGCCTCAGCCTCCACCAGGGGACTGGACCTGTGACTGCTCCTCTTCATGTGACATGAGAGGCAAGACAGGTAGCACCCCAGCACCCTATCTGGCCCCCAAAAATACACTGGGGGAAGGAAATTTCATCTGCTTTTCTGCCCAGTTGTCACCTGTAGGGTAGGAAGGTTCTAGACCCAAGGCTGAGTTCCTCATCCCCACTGCTTGCAGGCTTTGTAAGACCTGCCCAGGGCCACTGTACTGAAGTGTGGAGAGTCCTCAGGAGGCTGAGCAGAACCCTGAGGTTCAGCTGTCCCACTCAAGGGACCCAGGGAGACATGGCATGTGCCAGGGCAGAGGGCACTGCATATGTAACAAGCCAGAATGTCTGGGCTCCCTGCCTTGGTCACCATTCCCTCACCACAGGCCCCAGTGAACCCCAGGGGAGAGATAATGGGCTGTTGTTTAAAAGAATTCAAAGATAAAGCTCATTCAGTCGCTTATGTCAACACTCCAGCTGAATGAGAGGCCAAAGAGACAGGCTGGCAGGCCGAGGAAGGTCAACATTGACTCAGGCCCTCCTTTCAGGCCCAGCTCCAGCTGCACGGACAGTGCTCTGGCCCAGCAGCAGCCCAGGCCAGACCAGCCCTCTGACCTCCATTACTGCACCTAGAACCCCAACCTCTGCCCATTCCCCTCCGGGTGCACAGAGCCTTCCTGGGCATGGGGTTATCTCCATCCCGGGAGGGCTGCAGGCCAGGGACCTTCTCACTACCCCAGATTTTCAAAAGCCTCTGCACATGGAGGCCTGAGTCCTCAGTATGGAGTCCTCAATGCCTAGCCAGAAGGAACCTCTGGAATGCCTAATCACAAGACTGCCTTGCTTTTATAGCTGTTAACTTTCCAGGTCTCTATTTCGTTTGCTTCCTCACTGTATGCTCACAACACCACTGTGAGATGGGCTGAACCTGTTTTACTGGGCGCATTTTAAAGACAGCAGGCAGCTGGGGAGAGGAAGGGAGGGAAAGGAAATACACACATATAAGGTGCATAACATGTAGATATGGTGCTGGGTGCTTTTTATTGGTGCATCTAATGGCTAATGATAGATATTAGGAGCTCTGTTTTACAGATGGAGAAACTGAGGCTCAGAAAGAAGTAAGAAAGCGTCCAAGATAGTAAGTGCGAAGCTGACACTCAAAGCCAGATCTCTCCAACTCCACGCTCTCAGCTCACCTGCCATGCTCAGGACCCAGGGAAGTCAAATGACCTGCCCTGGATCGCACAGCTATGCAGAGCAGAGACGGAACTAGAAGCTTTAAGCCAGAGGCTCCTACTGCCCCAGGCAGCACCCATGATAACAGCACAGAGGGTGCTCCTGTTTCTGTTGCCCGAGCCAGATACCCTTCCCAAAATGGCCCCTTCCCCAAGTGACGACAAGGTTCAGAGACCCTGAATTAGTATCTCCCACTACTCGCCTTCCACGGACCCTCTGCCTTTACTTTATTCCTAACACCCTCCAACAGTATCCTGCCAAATAGCCAGACCACTCTCAAAGTTCTTCAAGAGAGGAGGGCTCAGGATTAGTATTTTCCAATACTGACAACTGGAGGCTGGTGAGGTGGCCCACTGCCAGGGCAGTTCAGCACTTATCATTACACTTACTCCTCATAACTATGCTATGAGGAAGGCATTCTCATCACCATTTTACAGACGAGGACACTGAAAATTTGCAGAGAAGTAAAGCAACTTGCCTAAGGAGTCAAAATTAGGATTTGAACCGAGCCTTTTCTGGTTCCAAATGTTGTGTTCTCAGCCACTGTCCTGCATACTATGACTGGAGGAGAATCCACAGCATTGCAATATATGCTGCACCAGCCACAAAAATGAGCACAGACCTGACCCCCCTCTCCGCCCCCACCTAGAAAAACAAGCACAAACACATACATACACATACATACATACATACATACATACACACACACACACAGAGAATAGGGCAAGATGCAGAAATGCAGAAAATGCAGCCTACACCCTAGGACCTCTCTATGTCTTAGCCAGTGGTGTTCCTAGCAGCACCTACACCAAAGAGCGCAGATCGGATGCCACTCCCTGCGTGTAGGAGGAGCTGGAGTGACTTCAGCAGGTCTGGAGGTCTGGGGAATGGGCAGGCAGGCTGGGATGTGCTGAGCACGCACCTTTGCCTGCAACTCCCGGAGGAGCCTGCTGTGGCTGTCTGTGCCCTGCTCAGCACAGCCGCTGGGCCTGCTGCCACCCTTCCTGTTTGGGAGCGTCTTCCCCAAGCATGAATTCAGTGTACCCTGCCTTGGTGACACGGCCTCGCCCCAGACAGGCATCAGACCTGAGGACAATCAGAGGGCGGGCCAGGGCGGGCCATTTGAAGCCCTGCGGGGCCACCAGCTTAGCACAGTGCTGAGGTGGTGGAAGCGACTTAACATGCACCCACTAAGGATTGAGTAGTGGCCACTAGAAGGGACCACTCCCGCTGCCTAACAGTACTAGGAAGCAGCCAGCCCAGGAGGGCCACCTGCCTGCCCACTGTGTCCCTCCTAGCCTGTCCTTCCAGGAGTCTGGAGAAGGGCCCTCCAGCCCTCACTCACCGCCTCCCCGCGCCTTCCTCCCTCCGCCTCTTCTTCCTCGGGACTCCTCACCCTTCAGTGGGCGGCTTTCTTAGGCGCTGAGGAGAGGGAAGACCAAGGACCGTCCTGGGCCAGTCCTCCGCAGGCCTGGGAAGAAACATATCAGAAATACATTGTGACAAATGTAGCAAGTGTCCCCGCGGATCTTGCGCCTGGCTGGAGTCCAGGGCGTTGGGAACCGCCCCACGTCGGCCTCCCAACAGAGCGACCTGTCTCAGGTGCTAGAGGCGGCGGCGGATTCCCTGCGAGGAGGCGATATTGGGCGCAGCGCCGCTTCCGGGGCCGGCCCCTCTCCCAGGCGCACCCGGACCCAGCGCGGCCACCGGCCGCTGCCCGCAGGCCGGAGCGCGGCGCCCCCTGGGGATGCGAGTCCCGGCGCCCGGCGGGTGCGCACGCGGAGGGAGGTCCCGCTCCGGAGGCGCCGCGCTCTGCGTGCCTGCGCTCAAGGCCCCTCGGCTGGGCGCCGGCTTGTTCCGAACTTCGGGAAATGAAAACCCGGGAGCGGAAGGCCGCGCGTGCGGGGAGGCCTGTTCCCTCGTCGCAGCCCTGGCCCGGAGAGGGTTCTCCGGCCTTCCAGGGCCGCCGGGGCACCCACCTGCCGAGCGGGAAGCCCGGGAACGCTCGGAGCAGCCGTGGGAGCCGGCCCGCCCTCCGCGGGAGGGACCTCGGCGCGGGAAACGACGAGGAGGGGCCGCGCTACATGTTTGTGCGGCGCCTGTTTCACCTGGCCACGAGTTTGATTTCAGGGTGTGGCCTCAGGTAGGACATGGCGAACCCAGAGCCCGGGAAAAGTCGTCGAGGGGCGCAGGGGCCACTGCGAGGAGCCTCTGTGCCCAAGGGGGGCCACCCTGCCTAACTCTTTCCCTCCAACCACTGGGCTCCAGCTCCCGCCCGCCCTTTGCCTTCCGACCCTGACCTGGCCGCACGCGCGGCCACCTGCCTGCGGCCCGAGGCCCACCGCCCCACAGCAACTGCCCCACAGCCACGGCAGAGACTGGACCTGGATTACCCGCTGAGCGCCGCCGTGTGTAATTAACTCGTTAACTTGCTTGCAGGTGCACGCTCTGGGCGGCGGCCGACTCTCCCTGACCCGAGAGGGGCTGCGTGCGCCCACCCACACATCCTGGAGTCCTAAAGCCCAAACTGGAGTCCTAAAACTTCGCACCTTGGCCTCTCTGTCCCATCTGGACAGGCCCCTAAGACTGTCCTGGGGTAGCCCCCTTGTGCAGGCAGGAAAGCTAGATTTAATGGGATTCCAATTCCCTCGTCAGACCTTGCTCAGTCCTGAGAACCCTCTGGCCTCAGGGTTCTAGGGTAGGAGACCTTGGGGGAGAGAAAGCTTCCAGGAGTGCCGCACCCCCAAAGAGAGGAAGGGGTCCATTCAGGAGATCTCTACCTGCAATTTTGTTCCAGAGTTGGCATCCCTTGGTTGTCCCCAGCAGTGCCCCGGCCTAAGATCAGGATGGCCATTCCGAGTGGCTCCCTGCTGACTGCTGTTTGGGGATAGAGGGTGTTTTCTATGTTGGGAGGAGGGGCAGAGGTCACTTGTCTGTCTCTTCTCCAAACAAGGAAGTGAGAAGACCCTTGCTGTCCTTGCCTTGGGCCCCCAGAGAGGGCTGTGTGCTGACAGAGTGCTGAGCAGATTCTTGGCTTGGAAATTCAGTACATCTGGACCCCAAATGGCTGCCTTCAAGTGGTGGCTGGGAGACTGCCAGTGTCACAGAGTAGGGACCAAGGACAGTGCAGGGATTTTTTTTTTAATCATTGTTGGGCACCTCAAACTTCAGTTATTGATTGAGGTCACTATTGCCACATATCATTTTGTTCACCAATTCTTTAGACATCAGTGCTATTTATGGATAAATCGTTTGTATTATGGGCTGTATCGCTTATGCACAGTTTACTCTAGGGCTCCCACCAAATAGAGCTAAGGCACCGCATGGGAACCCGCCAGCCCAAAACAGGTCTGCACCCTGTCTGGCTGCACCACAGCCCTATGCTGCCGTCAGCTTCCCTAGGTGCCAGGTGGAGACGCTGGCCCTCTGTGCTGTGGGAGAGTGGTGTGGAAGCTGGGGCAGCTAACCACAGGTCCTTGCTCCTACCCCCCAGCCCCCATACTTACATTTAGTCTCTGTCCTCCTCTCCTCACTCTGTCCCCTCTTCCTCTCTGTGTCTTTCCCAAGTGGATTCCTTCTCTTTCCTCTGACCAACAACACTGTAGGCCTGACCCTCTTAGACAAACCCTGACCTCCTGTGGCCACCCAGGAAGCTGACTGCTGAGCCTGGGATGAGGGGGCCATGCGAGGGGGAGGGGCAGGTAATAAAAGTATGGCTTTCCCCACAGATTGGTTATCCAGGGACATAGGTGCACTGGCTGAATGCTGGTAAGCGAACTGTGCTACATGGCAGGGGTGGGCCGAATGGTTGCTGAGGATTCGAAATGCACCATGACCCAAAACTAGAATGAAATGCATGATATTGTTGAACCTAGAATCAATACCCTAAATTATTTTTACTGACTCAGAGATGCACATGGGAATTTTTTCTTTTACTGCAAATGCCTTATATACCAAAACCACAACTCCAAGCCATACTTTTGAACTGCATTACAATAAGGTTTGAATATTAGAATATTATCTGAAATGAACTGATATTTAATTTGGTTTGAATCCAGGCTTGGGTATCCCACAATGGCTACTGGCCAAGTACCCTCCTCACCCTGTAAGGAGTCAGTCTGGAACACCCTGGGTTCCTCCCACCTTCAGGAGCTGCAGTGGGGCTTGGGGCCTCGAGAGATGCGGAGGGTCCAAATAAGACTAACAAGGAAGTAATGAATCCCCTATCACTAGAGGTATTAAAAAATAACTATCAGTCAGATGGACCAGAGGAAAAGTTCCCATACTGGGTACAAGGGTAGACCAGGACCTCTCGGGCCCACCACAGTGCCCGGTTTCCGCACTTCCGTCCCTTCTACACATGGTTCAGATGCACCAGGTGGATGATCTTCCACACATTGGGAGGGCTGGGGGATGCAAGGTGCGTCCTGAGTGATTAATTCCTGTGTGACTCTCCCCCTGCTCTATTCTCCTCCTTCCTTGCCCAGCTTAGCCCTGTGCAGGAGGAGAGGGCAGAAAAGCAGCATGAGAAGTGTCAGGAGCAGTCTGCAGGTCAGTGTCTCCTCCAGCGTCCCTCTGGCCCTGTTCTGAGGTTGCCCTTCTGAGCACAGGGGGGCACCAGGCACACCCTCCTTTGAAGAGCCTTGGCTGCTGGCACAGACCTGGCTGAGGGAGTGGCCCAGGCGCTGCCATTCTACAAACTGGGTGGGAGCTCTGCACAAAGGCACCGAGAACAGACATCTCACCACGGGAAATGGCTCTTGGAATCCTGCCAGCTCCTAGGCATTGGCTGGCCAGTATGGTCTGGGAGGGCATCAGGGCAGGCTCGTGGGGCGGGGCAGTCACTTCCGGGTTATCTCTCAGCCTGTGGCTGTCCGGACCTGTTGTAACATCTGAGCACCAACAGCCAGGGCTGAGAGCCCAGGTTAGGGCCAAAGAGGAAAGATACGGATCAGCTTGCGGTTTAGAAATACAAACACATTATCCTTCCCCTGCACTTTTCTGCTCCGTGACTTGACAAGCTTCCTGGGGATCAGGAATGCTACTAACGAGCTCACTTACTCCTTCCAGGGCACCTTTCTCTGGATGACTCTGCCCTCCTCTGATAATACTAAGAATGATGCCTACCAGTTACTGAGTGCTTCTGATGGGCCAGGCACCATGTTAAGCTATTTACACACACCATCTCAGTCTTCATGACCTTGGATGTAAGTACTGTAAATTTATTCTTCTCATTTATATATGAGGAAACTGAGGCTCAGAGGGGTTCAGGAACTAGCTTAAGGTCTCATGATTACTGCTATCCACTGAATGTTTGTATCCCCTCAAAATCCATGTGTTGAACTCCAGTCACCAATGTGGGGGTATTAGGAAGTAGGGCCTTTGGGAGGTGACTGGGTCATAAAGGCAGAGCTGTCATGAAGGGATGAGGCGCCCATAAAAGAGGCCCCAGAGAGGTTCCGGGCCCCTTCTGCCATGTGAGGTTATAGTGAAAAGACAGCCATCCATGAACCAGGAAGTAGGCCCTCATCAGATACCAGATCTACCAGTGCCTTGATCTTAGACTTCTCAGCTTCCAGAACTGTGAGAAATGAACTTCTGTTGTTTGTAAGCCATACAATCTATGGTAGTTTTTTACAGCAGCTCAAACGGACCAAGCCAGTTACGGAGTGGAGGAACCATAATTTGAACCTAAGCGTATATGACGCCAAAGCCTGTTCTTTTCGCTTGGTGCTGCTGAGAGGTCTCTGGCTCCAAGACTGTCTGAACAGTTGGTGGGCCAACTCAGACCTTCCTGTAAGGCATTTGTAGTAAAAAAAAATTATCCACTCCCAGGAAGGGTGAGTCACGTGACACGTGGTGGGGAGGGATATCCCTCCCACATTTCTGAGTAGGGCAGGACCCTTCTGAGTAGGAGGACCCCCACATGGCACTGGGTGTGGGGGGTACAGGGGTCCTCAGTTTCCCCCACTATGTCACTGAGTCCCCTGACAGGAACCAGGTGCTGGGTTTCCCTAGTCATGAGCTAGTACCCTACCTGAAGTCCCTGCATCAAGTCATCTGTCCTTCACAGACCCATGACAGGCCCGACTGCATCAGGCCCACATGCAGGGACTGCTGGGGAGGTAGGAGCTGGCACTTCTGCTGGATGCTTGGCAGGAGCCCTGTGGAGCCTGGTCCAGGCAGGGTAGCTGCCCACATACCCTGGAGCCCGGCCTTAGCAGAGAGGCTCTCTTTGGGGAAGATCCTCCTCCTCTCCCCTAGGCTGCCCAGCACATGCTTCTTCCTGTGGTCCTCATGGGACCACCCATCTCCCCTTTGCCTTTGGGGCCAACAGGCAGGTGCAAACCTCCGAGGGTCTGGAAGTGTGAGTTGAGGGAGCTGATACTGCCAGGCCCTCCCCGGGGGCCTCAGGCAGGAGGAGGGAGACAGAGTCTAGCTGTAGAGGCCATGGATGCTTGAGGATTGGAG